CTGGAGGAAGGTAAAACCCATTAAAATATTTGAATAGACATTATATATGTTATATTGACTCTGTTGAGGTCTACGAGCACGTATCAGACAGAAGACTTCTCACGCATCTAATTCTGATATACTTAGAAATATATATTAATAAATCATTTTTTGTTATAAAAGCACGCGAACATCATTGCCAACAACATAATATGTCGTAGCTACTTTGTAACCTATAAAACACTTGCTGATGTGGCCTGGGAGACCACATGCTGCCCCTGCTGGAAGTTGAAGAAATGCCACACAATTTTCCTGAGAGTAATCTTCAAGAGACCGGGAATGATCTATCAGAGGCACAGGCGTAGACACAAAATAAATAAAAAAAAATAAAATTGACTGCCTAGCCCAGGCCTTCATTACCAGGCAGGATACAAATCCTAGCAAGTAACTTTCCCTCACAGGCAAACATGCCCTCAATAACTTGAAAAAAAAAAGGGAAAAGAAAGAAGAAAGGCTGCCATTTTAAGCCAGAATGACTCTGACTTTCTGCTGCACATCCCTCAGGCAATAAAGTAATTTACAATATGTTTCAATCAGATATTGGAAACAACGCTTGCTTAAATCGTCTCGGCTTTGCTGGTATTTTAAATACGCGGTGGCCGCAGCTGTGTGGTTTAGCATCATTCCCAGGGTGGGAGGGTGGGAGTCCATCCTCCCGCGTCGCCCGCGCCATCCCGGGCTGCTGTGCCAGGCAGCGGCGCGGTCCCCTGCCCGCCTACACCCTCGGCCCCCAATGAAAAGGTGTTACCTGACCTGATTTATCATTTACTGCTCTTGTTTTCTGTAGTGCAAGTCCTAGACCAAGAGTATTTAAAGGTTACTCCTTCTCGGTAGCTGACATAGATTGTTGCTAAAATAACATTCCTATCGGGTGAATTGAATGAAAAGTGGCCACAAATGCAACTCAAACTGAAGCAGAGGGCATCAGTTTCTCTTTATTTATTCCTGTTGCTGGAGTTGGGAGAGAGAAAGAAATTAATTTGCTTAGGCTAGAATGCAAATTGGAGGAACCAAATGAGAAGGTAAAGTCTCTGCTCAAGGCCACACAGTCAAAGTAAATTCACTCAATAGTATGTTTTCTCCTTAACAAATCTTAGAATAAAGACCATGATATGGTCCGCACCATGAAGAGCAACTGTCTGGTTTAAGACAAACAAGCATCCTTGCTGTCATTTCTCTTGATAGCTAGGGAGCCTTCATTTTCCATTTTATAATCCTTAAGACATGAATGTACTTAGGCTAAAAAATTCATTAAACGTTAATATAAAGCCTGTTTTAACTTCAGACTGTTTGCTTCCCAAAGATAATTGTTTAAGAGAATGAACTGTACTCCCTTTGCGGCTTTTCCATATATTTTTCAAAAACTAATACTAGAATTACGAAAGATAGGAATAAGTACAGCAAAGTAAATTAAATCAAATAGCTAAAGCCTTGGGGAAGAGCTAATGCAAATGAATTAAACATATATAAGTTCCAAACAGCTACAGAGTAAGTTTCCTTCTGAGCATCATTAGTCTTGGAAGATGCCTGAGACACTTGCACCTTCGCTAGCTGTCAAGTCACTATCTTGTAAGAACAAAAATGAGAAAAATAAACTGTTAGCTCTGGCTAGTATCATATATTGTACTTTTTATCATCATTTTCCTTTTCCATTAAAGTTATTACCTGCACAAGTGTAACTCTGAAATGAGCAACCAAAGTTAATTTTCTTTTTCTGTCACTGGGTATCATCTCTTCATGGATAGATGGAAATTCGGTATTTTAAAGACTATTTTGACCTTAAAGGCAGGGGAAACTTTATTTAAAAGCTGTTTATAAGGCAAAAGTATCTCATAAGTAAATAAACCAGGGGAAAAAGAAAGAGGGCACTGAATATCAACATGCAGAGCTGCCATAGAGAGGTGAACAGAGAATTATTGTTCACTGAATACGGTGCATCCAAGAGAAAGAGCAAAACAAACAAAAGAAGAGGACATTATTGCGAATTGCAGACAAGTTTTGGATGTTCAAACGTTAAATGGGCTTATAAGAAGTGAGAGAAACTGATAGCAAAATCATCCATTAAAGGCTATTTAACATATCACACACAGAGCTTCCAGAAAGTTCCTGTCCCAACGGTCCCCAGTGCCCTCTGTGCTCTCCCTCTCCCCCTGGCGCGCAGGACCGGTGGAGGATGCTGGGCCAGGAGGGGCTTCAGGCAGATGCTGTTTGACCATCCTTGTGATGTATTATTTTAAAGGCTAATCTGTGTCCGGCTCAACGTTGGTGAAAATCTTATCTGGATTTAAAAGTATATTATGGTGCTGGCCAGGAGGGTAAAGGCTGAAGGGCTGACAAGGTTATGGGTATGGAGTTTTCATGGCTGAAATGGAAAGAAGTCCTGGAGAGCTTACTTCTCAGGGCAGAGGAATGACTGGACAATAGTAAAAGTTAGTAAATTTGATTAGTAATTTCTCTGATATCTGCTGTGTATCATGATTTAGAAGGTATTTGGAAAGCTGGAACAGTTGTAAGACAGGGTGGTTAGAGGAAAATACGAGACTCTGTGAAGGGCAGATCAGGCTGGACTGGCTAAACAGCTCTCCCTCAGAAGAAAGTTGAGATCTGGCACATTTTCTTTCGGAAGAGGAGCTCTTATCTTTAAGCCATCAATTCCCTGCAAAGCTACTGCTTTGGGAAACTATCAGTGAAGCAGAATAAGGTGGAGGAATTGTACAGTGCAGGCAGATAAAGACACTATTGGGTTGTGTTGAAAGGGCAGACGTCAGGCTGGAGAGAGAGACCAGTGGAATTCCTTGTGAATTTATCTTCTTTTGTATTTTTTATTCCTCACCAGGGCACAAAGAATAGTCACGCTGTGATGAAATTTTCTGATGACACAAAATTGGGGGATATTATCAATGGAAAGAAGGCGGCTTGCGGTACTGAGGATTTAGGATTTCTGGTCTTTTATTTGCCTTTATCTGTGGCTGGACTGCAGTCTATGTACCAGTTAAGGGTCTGGCTCCAGAATTATGCAAAGCCATGTGATAGTTAATCTACGAAGGGGAAAGGTCAGGCTGGGATCGATGGGGTTTTGAATCGGTAGTTTCCAAATCATCTCTTCTTCATCACTTATTTTTTGAAGAATCTCAACTGGGGGGAATCATCCTCAGCGTTCATATCTGCCACCTCATCATCCCATACCGCTGAGCCCCGTATCCCATCTCTGATGCTCCTCACCACTTCTGCCTCTCTGCTCACCTTGCTGCCAAACCGTGGTAGTCCTCTCCCAGTAATTCCAAACTTGGATGGTGGTACAAGATAAATGGTGATTATTGCAATGAGCTACAAACACAATAGCTGGATGTCATGAGCTCTAAGCAATGTTAATATGGCAGCCTCCAAAATTTGCAATAATTTCAACTACTCTCTGTTTAGCTGGATTCTTTCTAAGCAAGAGATGGTGAGCAGCAATACATGTGTGAGTATGGTTCCTAATGTGCAGGAGCTGAGAAGATCTGTTTACAGCTTCCGTTATATAGGGAATTAAATAGCACGAGTCTGAAGGGTATTGGTATCTGTGATGGAGATACCAATCAATGAAGAACCTGAGGACAAGATGCTCTTGGAGAGATAATGGTAAAAGAGAGCTCCTTTTGAAGGCAGCACGGCATGGGCTCTGTGAAGATCATTCTCTCGCAGAGCTCGTCAAGGATTTAATATTTTTACATTTTATTTCTGTAAGACAGCTCTTTTAATATGGATGCAAAGATTTCATGTATCTTACTGGCATGGGAGGCTTTTAGGATTTCTTTTTTCTCATGGGCTAAAAAATGAGCTGTGTTTTTTAACGTGCCAGAATGTCTTGTCGCTCAGTCTTTTGCATCCAATTGCAAACGCGTGCACATTTTTCGTGCGCGTTACCTGATCTAAATAGCTGTGCTGACAAGAGCTGAGTGCCAACATTATTCCATCCAGGTTGCCCTTACTTTTCTGCAATGATTAAGTTATCAAAAGGCAAATGGGAGGGTGAAGTTAGGTTTTTGCATACACTGTATGTTGGCTATATTTTATTTATTTTGTATTTTGCTGGAATCAGAAGTCTGACAGACTTTGTAGCTGCAAATCTAAATTATTTAAAATGCAGTTTAATTCAAGTTATGGGAAGATGGCCCATTCTGTGCTTACTGGAATGTCAAAACTACCACTTAAGTGGATAGAAAAGATTAATATATGGTTTTATTTTTGTTGAAGCCTGAAGGCAGCTGCCAGGGTGGGGGTGAGTGTGTGTCTGTGCCGCTTCCTTGATCCATCTTCTGTCCCGCAAAGTTAGATGCCCCACTGAACACAGAATCCATCCCTCAACTCTGTGCCGGGGTCATTGTTGCCTTGTGCACTTTATATAAACCGAGTCGATGCTTTTATCTCTTTTTCTCCCCGTTCCTCTTCCAGAAAGTCCCGTGTGTCAGAGCCTGTGGTTCCTCTGTGTGGCTTGGGAGGGCCGAGCCTCCTGGGCCGTGCGGGCGCGGGACCTCTCGCTGCATCTCGAGGGATAACATTGGCGAAGCAGCACGGTGGCTTTAAGTACTCAGCAGAAAACATCAATAACCAGAATGCAATGCTTTGGATGTGTACGTTTCTGTCACTGGCTGATCGGTGCCTATCGAGGTTGTATACTTACCGGTATTGAGTTTCCCATCCCCCTGGCATCCTCCCATTAAGTATTTGTATGTATTAATAAGATCCCCCCTCAATCTTCTTTTCTCTAGACTAAAGAGACCCAAGTCCCTCAGCCTTTCCTCATAAGAAAGGTGCTCCAGTCCCCTAATCATCTTCGTTGCCCTAATCATCTTCGTTGCCCTAGTTCTCCTCTCATGGATGCTGCGGTGCTCTATAGCCTTTCAGCGGTGGCTGGTTAACTCTGTCTCTCATGCTAATTCACTCATGAATCTCCTGCTCTGCCTTCCTGTCTCCCGCAGACCCCCCCGCCGTGGAGCCCACCTTCCTGGAGATTCGGCAAGGCCAAGGCCGGAGCATCACCATGAGCTGCCGGGTCCTGAGGGCATATCCCACGCGGGTCCTCACCTATGAGTGGCGCCTGGGCAGCAAGCTGTTGCGCACCGGCCAGTTTGACGTGCAGGACTCCACCGAGTACACCGTCAGCAGCCTCTCCCGCGACAGCTACGGCATCTACAACTGCAACATCATCAACGAAGCGGGCGCTGGGCGGTGCAGCTTCCTCGTGACAGGTAGGCTTGGTGGGGTCTTGGTGCGCTGAGGTGATGGACGGAGCGTGCCGCAGGCTTGCATGTCGTTGGGTAACGCTACTCCTGCTTCGACTGAGTTACCAAAGAAATACGTCTTTTAAAGTAGAATCGTGGCTTAAGGCATCTGTTTTGGATTCTGGGCAGGTTGGTAACAAAATAGGAGATTTAGCTTATTTCAGTGGTTTGAAGATAAAGATTTTTACGTGCAAAATGTAAATATCCCTTCTCTGTAGGCATCTGTCAGTATGCTTTTGAGAGGGGCCCGAGAGAGTTGTCAGGCAGCAAGTTTCTTCTATTTGAAGTTTGCAATAGGACTTGAATTTCTTTTCTTTTGGTACGCTCAGCAAGGTCGGAGACGGGCAGGCAGACCACAGTCTCAAGCAGCTTCAAGCTACCCGAGTACAAAGGGGTGTTGAAATTTGGTCCTTTTCTCAAAGAGCACAAGATCGCAGACTCAGGGAGGTTGTGCATCCCCTGCCAGGATCTACCCATGTTGTGTAATTAATGCACTGGATTGAGGCAAACTTTATATGTCTTTTATCTTTCGTATCTTGGATCTGAATGTTAAACTGGGTGTTTAGACATGCAAGTCTTGATTCTTCCTCGATTGGAAATCATTTACCATGACTGGAGGACTCAGCTGTCTGATCCTGCAATATCCTGTGCCTGCAGCAGATGTTGTGCCCACGCTGAGGTCCTCTGGTCACTGGAGTCACATCAGCTGTAGGTTCCCTATCTCTCTAGGCTGGTTGACCAGGCACTTTTTAGAATCACTGGAGGGTAAAAAGCATCTCTATTAAGTGAACTATCTCCTCCCAAGGTCTGCGATGGGTCAGGAACCTCCTGTTCCTCTGCATCAGCTGAGATGGGTGTCCCACCACCTGCCCCGTGTGAGTTGTCTCTGGAGGTCAGCGTGAGCACCCCTAGCTTCCCTAAGGATGTCGGAGCAGTAGCCCCATTTCAGCTCAAAATCCCTCCCGTCAGCTGCTTGAAAAGGAATGATGGGAAAAGAAACCAACAAACAAGAAATTCAGAATACGTAGATGAGCGCTGTCTTAGAAGGAAAGATCCCCCATTGTAATTGGGATTTTTTTCTTGTTTAACCAACTTGGCTCCCCTTGCAATCGTATCTAAATGAGGTTTTGCTTTTAGGGGTTGCTGGCAGGCTGGAAGGTCCCTGAACCCTGCCATTGTTTAGGAGAATGGGCATTAGTATCAGCTTCACTGCTACCAGCAGAAAGGGCATGGATTTAACGGATGAGGTGCAGAGCACCTCTTAGGGACCCTGCTCTGCACAAATCCTGGATATTAGGGCAGACCCTCCATCCACTTCTCTCCTGGGAATAAAGGAAACAATTTGATTCAGCTCCCCAGTCTTTTTCAGTAAAATTTGGGTTTATAGGAAAAAAGTGTGGGCCTGCTTTCATGTGGGTACTTTTTTTTTTTTCTCTTATGGACTTAGTCGAATGGCATCTCGTTGGCAGGGGTTTCGTCGGGCCAGCGGCGTGTGGTACAAATGTGGTGGGAACACAGCGAGCACTCCAATGACTGATGGCTCTGCTTCTTGCAAAGTGTAATCAAGCCTTTGGCTGACTTATCATTCAGAGCCCGCGCGGAGGTATTTTCGCAGCCACCGACTTCTCCAAATCTTTGGAGTTTAATCCAAAAGGTGGCTCCGAAGGAAACCACGGAAACAGTCTTTTTCCTCAAATGAGTAAATGCAGTTCAATTTACTGTTCATCACGCTTTGGACCCGACACTGTGGAAACCTATTCTGAGGCAATTATTTTGCCAAGACTGGGGCAATCTGAGTGGCTTTCTGTGATTTATTACCATGCCAAAGCAAGCCACATAACTGAAAATTAGTACTAAAATGGTTTTATGATATACTCCGTCTCACATCCCTCTGTGTGCCTTGCTCATTTTTAGTTTATACCATTATGCGGATTTATGCCGTATGGTTGGGTTAAGGGTGCTGAAATTAACACTGTGACTTTAGTGCTCTCCTCAGTCTTTTAAGGTTAAAATGGACGTATTTAGTAAATATATTCTTTGATACATGGAGTTGAAACTGCTCTCAGGAAAGAGCAGCAGCCCTATTCTGGTCCCAAGGCTCATCAGGACAGATGAAGTTAAAGCACTGGGGGACTGAAAACGTGTAGAAGAAAAATGACAAAGTGGTTAAAAAGGAGGTTTGCATTTCACCGGGAATGTGAATACAGAAATGAAATGGGTCACTTCTTAGACACACACAGGGAGAAAAAAGCCAAATAAATAACCCAGTGGCAGGAATCTGGTGATAGAGGAGAGCTTTTCCTTTGGGTGGAATAATGGGGGTTGTTGTAGCCCATTTTTAGTTGGTTTTATTTCCAGGTTTTCATGTAGTGACAGTGTGCTGCAATGCTCACGTTGCAGGGGCTGCAGAGAAGCATTGGTATGCTAAGAGAAAGGTTTTCAGTACAGTATTAAAAGCAGCCTGGATGAAAAGATTTATATTGGCCCTAGAGTTTGCAAAACCTGGTTTTACTGCATTTGTATTTTGAGCCAGATTTGAGAAGATGAAAGCAAAATAAATTGCATGTGGAAAAGGGGGTTGATTTATGTCAGGTGGGCCAATCTGAGGCAGATTTAACCTTAAAAAGTCTTAAAAATAAATAAGAACATACAAGCAAAATTGTATTTGTGGGAAAGCAAAGTTGAGTTCGTGCTGTTTGCAGCTTCGCTATCTATATATTTTATTCAGCAGTTGATAGCGCACATCATATCCAAAGAGCAACAAAAAGTACATTTCAGGCAGTGTGTCGTTAAAACCCTGCCAAGGCTGGAAGCAAAGAGGAAAAAAAAATAAAAAAAATAGATGCACAAAATGTCATGAATGGCACAGAGGGCTCCATGCAGAAGGATGTCAGTGCTGGAGAAAGGCTGGGTGAGCCCAGGGAGGGTCCTCCTCCCCGGAGGGGCTGCTGCTCCCCCAGGGACAGACCTGGAGCCCTCCCTGGGTCCCATCCTGGCTCCTGCCAGCCCAGGCCACCCCAGGGACACCTTTGTCACAGCAACTTGGGTCTCTTCAAGGCAGGGGAGGTCAAATTCTGTGTTTTCTGGGTTCCCAGGATGCAAGAGATCGATCAAGCAAGCCCTTGCGTTGCTGGCAGAAGTGCTGGTGCTATGGCGGGGGTTGTTTAGAAGTACTCCCAGAACTGAGGGAGCTATTTAAGGTTAAGATAACCCAAAATTGTGGTACCTGACAAGTCTTGACATAACACTTTATCTTCAGTGGCTTCTGAGTCTGGCAAGCTTTAAATACTTGCACTGGAATTTGCTGTGCTGGTGGCTGCCTCAGGCTAAATTGTTCGCGAAAGTTGCTGTCTGAAGAGGCTTTTTTTTTTTTAAATAAGGAAAACAATATTTTGTTCCATCCATGTTAAATTCTTCAGCTATTTAATGAGTACGTTTAAAAAGGCCAGATACACATCCTTGCATGAGTCCTTGTTTAATTTATGTCATGAAATCTGCCTGTCCGTAGTTTATGGTGCTGGTTTGACAATGCTATATATAATTTGTGAGATACTATCTAAATTAGTAATCATAACACCGGGTAGTACTAAACAAAGCTACTAATGACATTACGTTGATGTAGTTACTTTTACCAACTTCTGATCCCACCATTGAGCAGAGATAATTTTCAATGTTGATTTTGTGGTGTTCTGTTTTGTGCAAGTTTTCTGCCATAAAATATTGCAGTAATTAACAAGCCAATCTTTCCTTATTTACCAGTCTTGCATCATACTTTTAGTGCTTCTGGCCAAGAGCAACATCAAGCCAATCAACTCGTAATTATGTAGGTTATAATTGTTAGCTACCGGCATGACCACAGCTTTCCCTTTCTTTGGAGCTTCACTGGTGTTACTGAATTAAAGACCGAGCAGAGCAAACCTGGGGGCACGCACGTACTCACCCGTGTCCGCAGTCTAGCTGGGGGTGTCCGCTCCATCTGCCAGAGGATCTCCCAGCTCCCGCCTTCCTTTCCTCCGTGCCTTAGGGAATTGGAAGCTGAGGAGCTGGACACGGAATCGTTCCTTCTGTATGGTCCCAGCATCCATCCCTGCTAGGAGCTGCGTGATCCTCATGTAGCCTTGCGGGAACATCCTCTCTTGGAAACCTGTTCAGCAATTTCTGCCTCAGTGTTTCTTCTTTGCCCTCAGCACCATCCATGGTGTCGCTGGGGTGTGTGCAGCATTGAGCTGAAATCGTGTGAGAATCACCATCCAGGCTTTTGGGAAAGCCGGGATGCTTTTGCCACAAGAGCATCATCTTAAAATAAATTGCAGGCACTTGAAATTGCAGGATACCGGGTTCTTCTCCGTAGCCCTCTTAGCTGAATTCAACAGTGTTCTGCTGTTTAAAGTTTTATAGCTTCATTAATCCTTTTTTATTAGGGAAGGCCTTTTGCACTCAACTGAGGGACAGAAGTGTATATTGTTTGTACCTTCCCATTTTAATTTTTTTCTTGGAAACTCTGTGGGATCCATGTCAAGCAACAAGTAAAAATTCTATTCTAGAAGACTTGTTTGGAAGCAGATTCATTTTTACCTGCACGATCCCAAAAAGGCAGGCTTTTGCCAGTGAACTGTTTTCACTCTACAGTGTTTTGTTGGTTTTTTTTTTTGTCAGCATGAAGGCAACTTCCCAAGCAAGTAACTCAGTGCAGTTTTCGCTGGCTGAACTGTGTGTGCGCTGGCTGGAAGACATGGCAATGCCTCTAATGTCACTTCTGTCCCTCACTGTGTGGTTACCCATCGTGGAGTGACAGACCAGCACCTGGACTGCTGCAGGGACGTGGGGAAGCTGTGTGCTCTTAAAAATGTTTTGAATTCAGCAGTTTTGCTCTCCGTTTTCCAGGAACCCGTAGCTGTTGTGACACCAGTCATTGTGACTGGGTTGTCCCTAGCAGTGGCTAGGGGACGCCGGGTGTTATTGAACCC